ATTAGTGCGTCAAAGTGCGATATCTCAGTAAATATGAACTTTACAAGAAAATACGTCCTACGAAAGTTTTTCATGTTTAAAAGGTCCACATTTTATCATACTCGTTTGTTATACTCCAGTGTAATACGAAAACCAAAAGAAGTGTGCGAAAGCCAAAATCGACGGTAACAACGTTAACCTCATCGCACGTGGCAGAAAAGTACAGCAAGCTTTTGGACAAAAGGAACTTGTTATTAGACAAGCACTTAGAAGTGGCTGACTTGCAGATAAGGCAAGTAAAAATTAAATGCGATCTTCTGGAAATAGAACTAGCCAATGAAAAAGAAAAAAATCTTAAATATAAGGGTTTTTATTTAACCATTTATAACGAACATTTTTATCATAATTAAATACATTTTCTTAATTTAAATTTGAAAAGTAATTGTCAATTAACACTTGACTGTAGTTATTACTTCTATTCTCATTTCCATCGGAAGCTATCCTGGGAACATTTCCGCTTTCTATAAGATAATGGAATTCATCGATACTTAAATTTTCTGGTGGAGGTGGATCAGCTTCGTTCATTTCCTGGGCTATGTTGTGTAACACAGCAGTGGCAACAATTACCGTTAACGAAGTTTCCAATTTACATCTTAACCCGTATGCTAAAACTGGAAATCTTCGTTTCCAAACGCCAAGTTCTTTCAATACAGTTCCTGGTTCTTATATGGCATTCATTATAAAGCCTTTGACTTTCGTTACTAGGATTTAAAAGTGGAGTTAACAAGTATGACTTTAAACCATACCCACTATCACCTAAAACTTATCTTTTTACAATTCTGAAGTAACATTTAGTTGTATAATATAATTTAGTGTAGTTGTCATATTTCCGTACCGAGCAAAACATTATTACCAAATTCGCCAATTTCTATTCTAGCCTTCAATCTGCAGCTATTGAAAATTGTTGAATCGTGCGTTGAGCCTGGCCAATCAGCAACAATATTCATAATTTTTAACGCGCTATTGCAAACAATTTGTGTATTTATCGAAAGACACAGACAACAAGAAGGGAAAATAACACTTTACACAACGCACCCGGTAGTTGACCGACCGTAAAGTTCCACAAGAAATAAAACAAAACGAAAGGTGCAAAGCGGACCACAACCAAACACAACTGATCGGTACAACGGTCGAGACAAAACTTGATGAGATTCCAAAACTTATCGTATGTTGGTATTATGTTACACACAAGTATAGGAAATAAAATGACCTGTACCTACGTTATGTTCCAGAAGTGCATAAAGTATACTTCTGGTACATAGAACAAACTACAACTTCATGCTCATGCTTATGAGTAGCTACCTACTGGGAGTTTAAACTCACATTGCATGCATATCACATTGTATTGAATATGTTATTACTGACTGCTGCTGAATGAAAGTAAATCTATAAAAATATCTATTCATCGTTTTCAAGCATATAGCATCATAAGTTTATTTATTACACTACAAAACACACCTATGTTCTTGAATGTATGAACAGGTTGTGTCATTAAAAAATGTTTATTGGGAAAGGTCAAACCATCGGCAGTTTGTTGGTGGGTAGTGGTTATTAGATAAACGCCAGCAGAATTGTTTATAATAAACAGGGTGATTTACGTAGACCGTGCAATAGAAGTTTTCCAACTTACGGTTGTTTTAGAAAATTGCGATCTCGTTGTACTAAAGGTAAACAATCTTAATATTTAACTGGTAGCTTTCCTTTTTCTTCATAATTCAACTGCAGGTTTGCCACGACAATAACACATTTTGGCTCTCACAGTTAACGCCAAGGGTAATGTTTACGATACGATCTGATACCAGGACTGCCGCTTTGCCGATTAAGACTATGCTCACCCTATGGAAAATCTTTTAACAAGCAACATTTTTCTTATGGGTTTTTCGAGAAATTGCCGTTTTCTACCACTTTTCACCCTCTGAAATACACCAATTTCCAAAACAAAACATCGGTCGCCATGATGGTTCAGCTCTTTGCGTCGGCGTGTCAGTCGAAATTTTTCGCGTAGTTTCCAGTACTATATTAGCACTTTCTTAACATTACCACATCCTTCCTTTTCATGTACACAAATCATTTAATATACTTAACTATTTAATATAAAATAGATAGTAATTAGTAATACTCAGGTGATATATTTTCACTACTTTTCCGATTCTCATCATAATTTCCATTAACTGATTAAGCACCCACACAATCAGCTGTTATAAACCATAATCTGCATGTTGAAAAATGTTTAATATAAGAAAAAGTAAGAACGATGTATCTAATGTAGTGAACAAAAGTTGCTAACGATAGCGGTATAACGTACGGACCGTATATTTCAATTAGTTAATCGTTGTTAGAATACGAGGGAACATTTTTTGGGAATTCCTCAGGTGATATTTGCAATTACTATTTAAAGCTATGAAAATATACCAAATGTTGAAAGTTAGGACGAGTGTGTAGAAAATCTTGAGGATCTAGAGGGATGTTTCTGGTGAGATTTAATATAGTAGGTAAGAAAAGTCTTCATAGACATTTTCCAGTTATGTTTATTGGGATTCTTTCATATATAGCATAGTTGGTTATAGTAAAAATAGGACTTACAAGGAGGCTTACTAAAGTTCAAAACCGAAGATTTTAACAGTAAAGTTAAAATAAAAATGAAGATTTCTAAAAGAAAACATTTAAAATATTATAAAAATATGGTATGTAAATATTTAATGGAACTTCATTACAATGCGCATATTAAAGGATCTCATAGCTGCCCCTTACTGGACAAGAAACAATGCCAAACATAATCCGTAAGCCATAATTTACATTCTTAAAAATAAATACGATTATTTTTTATAATTACGTATCAGTCTTCCAATAAATTGGGTAACTATAGCTGGGTACTCTCATGCATAATTGTAGAAGACATCTTCACCGGACGAATGACTATATTTTGTGACTCTGTTATCAACGGTACCGACGAATTGTGCAAGCTTTCGCTAGAGCAGTTTTTATTTGAAGAACCATCAACTTTAAGTTGATCGTTGAAACTGACAATTGACGAAGCTGAAGCTGGTCTTAGCTGGCAAATAACGATACTTTTAGTTTCTTTGATAACTGGAACCATCGTTTTGTCCAATGTCTCATTGGATACCTCTATAATGGTTTTATCGTCCAAGCTTTTACTAGCCGGCTTGCACTCATTTATTGAGTGAAAAAATTGGGAACGTAGAGCAGCTGCTTGTGATGAGAACTTGCGGGGCGTTTTATCGTCCATGTCAATGTAAATACTATCGTTGGATAGGGTATCTTGAGCGGGTGACGCTTTACCCATATTGGATTTTGAGCAACGAGCTCTAAAGCTGCAGCTACTTCCAATGCTAGTTTTTTCTGCTTGATTTGCCGCTATAAAACTCACATTGTCATCGAAACGGACACGCTCTGAAGTACCATCTTCAGTTGTTAAGCAGCTGCAAGAATCACTCCCATTCACCTGCTGGAATAAAACAAGTATTTTAATTTAGGTCAACTAGTTCTATGATGATTAATAAATAAAATGGTTTTTCATTCAATTCGGGGTACAATATTTTACATAATGAACATAAAGTTGAAGTGCTTTGTTCTGACTGTGCAGTGAAAAGAAATTTGCCAAGACTAGTTCATAAAAACTGACATAAAAAAAGCATCTAGCTGTTATTTAGAGCCGCTTTCCTATCGAAAGCAAGCCGATACCTATTAACTTAGTTTTAAGCCTTAACCTCAAGCTCCCTAATTTTGACAAATTCTTCGAAAGTGCATTTGTAGAGCTTTGTTTTGATCTATAAAACCGTATTAAAGCTTCGCCCTTCTCAGGTTTCTTCAGTTCAAAAATGTCATATATCCTACAGCATGAAAAATATCGAATCATTTTAATGACCTTTGCTTTTGCGAATCGAGAAAATCCCAAACTCTAAAGAGATAACAGTCTTGCTAAAATGTTAACATTTTGAGAGCAGTCGAATTTTTTCGGACAGACTATATCTCCGAAACGGTAAAAAATGTCAGATCTTTTAGAAAGCTCTCCTTCACTGCTGTATTTCAGCAATTAAGTTAAATGCTCATACAGTTCACTGCTATATTTCAGGAATTCAGATCCTCTGAAGAGATCTATATAACCTTCCAAATAGATTCAATTATACTAACTTCGAAAATCGATCGCTCGTGGGAAAACAAAAAAATAATTATAAAGAATTTTGGATTTCAAATAAAAACTTGAAGGTTTTTATACAGTGAAACCTCTTATTACGGACACCTCTATTAGGCGGAACGTCACATCCTTTAACCGGACAAATTTATCGCGGCAAAGCCTGGAACTACCATTTTATACGTAAAATAAACTCTCATAACCGAACACTCTGATAAACGGTCGCGAACACTATTTTGGTGTCTAACGCAAGTACAAACCTTAAGGCCTAGGTTCGCTTGTGCGATTGATGCATGCCTGCGTTCATCGCAGAGACTGATCATATGGCATATCATGTTTATGGGTTTACTAGCGCGTTGACATCTAGCGTCTGAGGTGTGACGCAATGTCGGAACGCAGGCACTGCTATCGAATACATCGAATATATCGAATATATATATATCAATGTTTGTACATAGAATGATGAGATTTTATGTTCGTAATTAATAACGGAATCATGGTTTCATTATTATTATCTAATAAAAGAGTCAATGCAAGCTCCATGATGCTTATAATTAATCAACTACTCAAATTTCCCTTTTCAACTGTGCTCGAGCTGCCGACTTTTGTAAACTTTCAGACGCACAAGCGAACCCACCTACGACGCATGCATCAATCGCACAAGCGAACCTAGGCCTTTACTCAACCGCACACGGGAACTGTTAACTGGACGCCTTTGTTCCTTTTCGGAAATATCAACACGAATGAGAAAACAAGTTTTTTGAAAAGTGAAAGACTTAAAATTGATAAATTGTGTTGTGATTGGTTCACGCGTGTTCGAAGTTAAAACATCTCCATATTTAGACATTTAGTAAAAGCTTTAAAGCTCAACAAATAGCAACAGAACTTAATGCTCTTCCATCCTTACTACTTGGGTGTCAGCCAGAAGATGTCTACTATGTCGATGAGTCAGGCCTTCTCTTCCGGGCTTTACTCGATAAAACTTATTTTTAAAAGCGAGAAAAGTCCAGGCTAATTTTTAACTCTCAAATTTCGTTTGCGATAATATGACGGGCCACATAGAAGAACTGCGTGTGATTGGAAAATCAGCTAGACCTAAAGCATTTAAAAGTGTATCTACGAAAGATTTACCTGCCACTTGGACAAATACTTGGAGGTATGGCTGAACGGTTATTGCAATTTGGTAGAAAGATTGCGATACAAAAACGAAAGATCGTATTGTTCTCGGATTCAGAACTCGTTGTTTCATTCTGAGGTAAAATTTCAAAACATAAACCTAATCTTTTTACCGCCGAATACGAAATCCATCTGTCAACCTTTGGATCAAGGTTGACTCTTGATGATCTTTCACCATACAAATTTTGTATTGTACATGTACATTTTACTCAAGATCAATGAAGTAGAATCCATATCACAGCTAGCAAAAGCGAGAAACGTTTTAAAAGCTCTTTATTCTGAAAAAGTGCTAGGAATAAGGCGTCCAAAACAACAACGTAAAGTTGCTTTAAGAAAGCTTTTTCAAAAAGTTATAAAAACAGTACCTGCACCAGATGATAATAAACCTCTATAGACAATAGCCCAAACTGAAAAGTAAGCCAAAGAAATGAGAGTAACCACTGAAGATTTTGAGAAATATGTTCAACTTGATCATATGACAGCAACTGTCAGATGTGTTTTGATATTAGAGGCGGCTAAAAGCTTGGTATCGCATGTGAACCAGATGAATAAAGAACCGGAAGGCAAAATAATGTTTGAAAATACCGGTGAAATAATTTGTTATTGTCAAGCTTTGAAGACAGTTACTACTTTAAAAAAACATTTGTAAATAGCACTATAATACCTGAGCAGTTGAAAAACTTAGAAGATCATTTTCGATAGATCGATAATCTACATATTAGATTTAGTCAATAAGTAGCTAATGTTCATTCATACATTTTTAACCAAACTTTTTCAACTTTTTAAAATTTAGTGTCATATGTGTTTGATTCATTTTGATTTTATGCTTAATTATCTACATAATATTAATAATTATTATAGACCATATAACTTTTTAATCCCTCTATTAAGCGGACATATTGTCGGCTTAAAGCTAAAAGTGATCAAGTTCAAAATTGCCGTATTCGTGTTTGGTTGCTCAAGTAATTTAAAAAATAATATATTTGTCTTCAAAAACTGACAGCATCAACCAAGGTCCCACGAATAGGTGCACTAAAATATGTTTTATTGGCCAAGTTTCCAAAAGAAAAAAATAACGTCAACCTAATTTGATCAGCTCTACTTACTAACTTAACTTAGTTAAAACCTATCGGATTTAAAGTAGACATGGTCGCTTTACGCAGAAGGGGATTGAAAATTTTGGCGTGCATTGTACGTAGTAATTCGTACACTGTTTCCAGCTATTGATTCCTTTTTGCTGTATGCCTAAAGTTGCCGTTTTTGAATTTAAAAAGTAAGAACATGTATTATATTGAGTGCCAGCTTTTCACAGAATGCGCTTAAAAGATGTCCTGGAAATAATGAGAACAAAAGGGGTAAACCACAGACAGCTAAATGTAGTACACGACATTACACAGGGAGACCCACTCAGCCCCTTCATGTTTAATGTGATAATGGATAAAATAGAAAATGGAAAGTACTTTCTTCCATGCCGTGTGCTACGCTAACAACGCGGCTCTTATTGCAGATTCCGAAGACAACCTCCAAAGACTGAATACTCCATAAGCAAAAGAACTAAATCTGCTCATCAACACCGAGAAGACTACTATGTTTAGTAATATCAAAGAAACCGATAAACTGCAAGCTGGAAATCGACTCCAAGATCCAAGTAAACAATTTCTATATAACTAATATAAATTTATATATCCTAATATTTGGGAGCAGATATAATGGAATGGAAATCTACCCCTCGAAGGAAGAGAGCAAACAATGAAAGCGGCTCGAATTTCGGGATGTGTGAGAGAAATTGTTTCGAAAAACAAATACCTAAATACGGAAAGCAAAGTCAAGATATATAAATCGGCAGTAAGTCCAGATACAAGCAGAACTCTACAAATGATAAGAACAGTTGAATACTAAGACTGAAAGACTGAAAATGAAGACTATACGATAGAGTTTTGCATTATTTTGGTTTGGTTTTTTAAATAATTACATTACTTGTTTATGGTTAATAAAGCTTTTTGTATGAAAAATGTTTGTCGGATTTTCGCATCTTGCATAACAGAATAAGTAAAGCAATTTTAAGCCGCTCGTCTATTGTATTACTATTAATAATTAGTAATTTCATTGTTTGACCAAGTATGTATACAATGATTTAAACAATCAGTAAAAATGACCGTCATTTTTTTTTGAAAAAACAAAAACAAAACAAACCCCTTTAAATTTCATTTAATACCTATAATTAAAAGATCAAATTATGAAGCAAATAACCGCATGATTTAAAAGTGAATTTAAAAAAGCATATTTTTGATAATTCTAAAATGATTTTTGACTCGGCTTAAAAGTGCATTTGCTAAAAATTTATATTTTGGATTTGGTCAGTTTTAGCTTTAAGCCCACGATATTTAGTAGAACCATGAGTGTGCGATTATAAAAGGTTTCACTTACATTACACGAGCATCGCAATTCTAGTTCACCAGCTTTTAGCGTCCTGCTAAGGTCGTTTTTGTAACGAACTATCAGACGTCATTTCAATGTCCGCATCACGCCCCGGTATAACTCTCGCCGATTGAGGCATTGATTGTGAACCCGCTCCAGATGGTACAATGTTTTATATGCTTTCACAATATAAAATTTGCTTCCTTTACAACGTTAGAAAAGTTGATTATTCCATTTATCATTTGGCGGTATAGAATGGTGGGCAAATATTTAAATTACGTCAAGGTCCCAGATTTGAAAAAACAATGACAATCGAATAACGGAACGGCTCATATACAAAAGTAGTTAGATTAAAGAAGAGGTATAGGTATAATCTGAACATATTTTTAAATATATGAGGTTGCTCAAAAAATCTTTAACTCCGCAGATACAAGTACTCTTAAACAAAACTACACCAATGCTGTTATTTCAGTACGACCATAACCCAAAAGACAGTAATAAATCCGTATAACCTCGAAATATTTTAGCCCCCAATTTCCCTCACCTTATAATTCATTAACGAACCGGCTAGAGCTCTAACGCTAGCGCCTCCATCATCCAAAGTGATACTGGCATTTACTGATTCCGTCAAACTGCTCAAACTAAAGCGCTGCGCCGAAGCCAGATCTGCTTGGACTTCTAATCGTTGAGCCGCCTGATGCAAACTTCCTGCCAGTGCTACCTGTAATGGAACAGAACATATACATATATAATTTTATTATTTTTTAAATTAGTCATAATTTCCAAATTATGGAGGTATCAAGTAAACCCTCACCGCATACATAAATCAAAGCATTAGGCATTTTTATAATTTTAACTTAGATTGTATCAAAAAATCTGTAAAAGTGTAAATGCAGTATACAAGTCGATTGCTTCTTTATATAATTTGGTTTTTACACTATCATAAGGTGTCTCCACACAGTCAGTATATACGAGTAAAAGTCAAATAACTCAAATACTAAAGAGTTGATTGAAATTTTCGTTAATTTTTGCAATTTTGCGTCACTTCGGCTTCCAATCAACTCTTTGGCTTGTCTACAGCCTTCCGCCTTTCTCCAGATCTCTGTGGTGCCTCTAAGAGCCTAGTCATTAAGAGCGCTTCCTACCTGTGGCTTTCTTAACCTTATGTGAAGTTCGACAGTTGGGCTCCCAGAAGATACGAGCCTTGCCAGTGCATCAGCCCGCTCGTTTCCCGCGAAACCCATGAGCGCCGGAATCTGGCTTAACTTTTAATAAGAAAAATGTCTGGTTCCTCTGCTGAGTACTCCAAAAAATATATTTTTTAATAAAGATGGATTGATACGATGCTTTTTAACGAAACTCGCTGTGAATGTGTTATGTAACTCATATTTAGATGCAACAGCCGAGTTCATACGCTTTGGGCAAGTGGTGAAATCTTGAGTGTCGTGGTACAAAAACTATCTTTTTCGAGTTGATGCACTAACTATTTTTGAACGTTTTTGGGCTCTTTGTAAAATCTTGTAGCATTCATAGTTTTTGCGCAAAAAATGGTTATGTGTTCTTGCCACTGAACTAGTACTCAGTATCCATCGGTATAGGGATTCGGTACTGGCACTGATTACCAGTTAGTTTAGTTACCAATTAGTCTGAGCGAGTAATATCGGAGTCGAAGGTTAGGATGGGTGACTTGATTTTACGAGAACGATTACTGATTAGATACTGATTAGTAACGAGTACTCGAATACCGATTAGTTACTTTTTCCCACAACTAGTGCCCTATGTTACTTTCATTCGTAGAATATGCATTTAATATTGTAATGGAAATGGCCTGGGGTACTTGAAAAGATCAAAGAAAGATTCTACTGGGACGGATGCCAAACCGATGTGGAGAATTGGTGACGTGCATGTACGGAATGTGCTGCCAGTAAAGGACCTCGCAGCCGGAGTAGAGGACCAATGAGACAGTATCTGGTTGGGTCGCCATTTGAGAGAAT